GCGGCCCTGAGCGGCGCCGCCGGAGCCGCCGGGGTCTGCCCCCCACCTGGACACGCGGAGGGTCGAGGGACCGGCGCCCGCCCCAGGATCGCCGGGAGGGTCGCCGACCCTCCACCCGGCCCCCTTCCTGTCCCCGCCGGCTGAGAGGCGGGGCTGCCGCAGTCCGGGCTGGGGGTGGCCGCGGCAGAGGCGGAGCCGGCCTGCGCCCGCTGGGGGTCCGGTAGGGGGTGGCAGAGGCGGTGCCCGAGCCCCCGGGCCTGTCCTGTTACCTCGCTTGAGTTAGGGTCCCATGGAGGCCCGGTGGGACCAGCAGTTGCAGCCTGACCCCCACCTTGCCAGCCGGCACTCTGGGCATCAAACAGAAGCCCAAAGAACACACACCCTCCCCCCACCCCAATTTGGCAGTCCTGCGGGCTCTTGGTTAACCCCTTCACTGCCCCATCAGGGTCCACTCGCTGGGCTTTCCTCACTATCAGCTCCCTCAGGGGGCTGACCCTACCCCAGACCCTAGCCTGGCCAGGCACACAGTAGGCACTTACTAAATGCTCCTTGAATGAATGAGGCAGGGCTTGTGACAGGTCCTGCAAAGTCCAAGGGTGCGTGTGGTGTGGGCAGGGACCCGAATTCCCAACATTCCATCCTTGGGTCAGGTCGCCATGTCTCCCAGCCCTGGCCCAGCAGGCTCTAAGTGTCACTCAGGTCACTGGAGAACAGGTGGGCAGTGTGGCCCAGGCTAGAGCTGGGGCAGAGACCCTGCAGCCAGCTGGAAAGCCTCACCTTGTTCAAACTGCTGATCCTAGGGTCGAAGTCAACTGAATCAGAAACCTGGTACAGCCCTCCCACCTCCTTGGGGTGTTTGGAAGCTCAGAGCAGCAGCCAGGGTAGGGCAGCCAGAGCTGGGGGACAGGATCAGGAGGGCAGATGTGGCAGGCAGTCCCTGCTCCAGGGTCCTGTGGCTCCATCTGCCCCCTAGCCCTCGGGCCCTGGATCAACAGAGCTGAGCAATGGGGTTTCAGTGACCCTCAGCTGCAGGGGGTGAGAGCCTCGGGCTGATGTGACCACAAAGGGGGGCTTTGTCACTTGCTGCTCAGGTAGCTTCACAGGTGCCCGTGGTGGGCCCAGACACTGAATGGAGGGGCAAAGGTAACCCCACAACTTAGGGAGCGGTCACACCACAAAGGCTCCTGGGTCTGAGGGCACATTGTCTACTTCAGGAAGGAAGTTCATCCATCTGGGTGAGAGACAGACACATGAGACTGCTCCTGCTGGAGGCTTTGTTAGTCTTACTGAGTGTGTGCACACTCACCTACATGTAAATTAAGGCTTGCTCCAAGGGAAGATGTACCTTGGTGCCTCACGCGTCATAGATGCTCAATTATGCTGGACAAGGGCCCGATTCCTGAGGTCAGAGCAGCTCGGGATTAGGCACTCCAGATCTTCCTAGAGCTCATGAGACAGTGTGGATGGGTATTCAGATGTCCAAGCAGCCTCTGGATGTCCACGCAGAAAGGGCCACGAGTCCTTCAGGAACAGATCATGGGACCCCCCCCCCCCGCCTGGTGTGTCCAGCACAGGCTGAGCTGACCCACCTTCTTCCTGAGGACACTCAGGTGACATCAGAATTCTTTAGAGGCTGCCTGGCCGCACAATCGGGTCCATAGTCCCAGGCCATGACTTGGTGGCCCTCTAGCCTTCTCCCCTGGCTGGTCTGCTCATTCTCTGTCACACCCCACCCCCACCTGAGGTCCCACCTCCTACTGACCTCCTCCTTCAAGAGGTGCCCAAGGTGGTCATCAGGCACTTGTCACACTCAGATACTGTCAGGATTTGTCTTGTTCTTCTGACCCCCATCTCTGCAGCAGACCAGGGCTCCGTCCTGTTAAGACACGCTGAGGCCAGTGGAGAAGGGCTTTTCAAACCCTTGGCTTTCATTTTCCCTAAAAGAATTTTGAGAAGCTGTCAAATCATTTGCACATTTTGAAGTCGACACCTACATTTTTTTTAAAGTCAGAAATGTAAATAATTGCAAAGAATGTAATTTCTGGTATGGTGTCAATATTGACATTTTGAAATAAAACTGTTACTCTTGTAAATATATCCAAGATACTAAATACCAAAGTGGTTTTGATACCCACCATCAATTATTAAAAAAAAATACATAAACACATTCTTCTCTCACAGTCAGAAATCTTCATCCTAACATTTCTTCCTTAGGCTCATTGCAGTCATCTAAGTTTGCCCAGTATTTTGTCCTATTGTGATATTTTTTTTATGCCTGAAAGTTTCTATTAACCCCCATCACACTCCGTAACAAATACACATGTAAGTTTTAGTAAATTGAATATTTAATAAACATTTTAAAAACTTAAAAAAAAATTGTTTCCAGGGATCATAAGACTTATATTAGGTATAGAAGTAAGTGGCAAAGAAATAGCTATGTTTCTATTAGAGATGGGGACAAACACAGGAGGAGCTAGACCCTTGACTTGCTTCTGCTGGGGGAGCCTGTGCCCGGTCACTTTGTGGCTGTAACTTTGTCCTTGTTCCTTTGTATACACTGGGCTGTCCCAGCCCTGCCTGGCTTTCCCTATAGAGGGCGCTGGGGTGACTGGAGAGCAGGTGGAGCCTGCTTAACCCTCTCCCAGCATGCTAGCTGCTTCCTGCAATCGCGTCTCCAGGGAAACTGCTGTTTGTTGCCTTGGGCCCTTCAGATCTCCACTTCTGAGTAACCGGCTCCCTGAGCTCCTGCTCTCTGTTGAGGTGACTGGTGTGGCTTCTGCTTTCCTACAGGACCCAGGCCGCTGTGGCTCCCTTCACTCAGGAAGGTCCCCTTGACCTGTCAGAAGTTGGCCTACAACATGCCACCTCCTTCTTGTTGCAACCATGCAAATGCACAACCAGCTTGTGTGAATTGTATGAATACACCACAGTTTACATTCTCTTTCCACTGCTGATGGACATTTGGGTGGTTTCTAGATCTGGGGTACTATGAACAAAGCCACTGGGGACATATGCTGTTCAAATTTCTCATTGCACATGTTTTTGTTGGGTCTATATTAATAAGTGGAATTGCTGGGTCAAATTTTATGCGCGTGTTAAATTTCTTATTTTTCCCCATATGGATGTCCGATGGTCTGGGAACCATTTTTTGGAAAAACAGTCCTTCCCCTCAGCTTTGCCGTTTTGATTTTTGTTGAACCAAGTGTGCATATGTGTGAGTCTATTTCTAGACTGTCCTTTTCCATTGGTCGTTTTGTCTGTCTTGCAACAGTTCCACTGTCTTAGTAGCTGCAGAAGTATCAGTATGCGAAGCTCGCCCCCATCTCCTCCTCTTCCCTCTTTTTCTTTGAGAGTATCTTGGCTACTCTTGGTCTTTTGGATTTCTATACACATTTTAGAATTGGCTTGTTAAGTGCTTTGAAAGTATTTGATGAAAGAAAATGGTGCCAGTCTGCTCAAGCCACCTTAAATGGAATCAGGTCATTTCAGCTTGAGCTGCAGGCACGTCTCGTCTGAGGGCACCTTGAACAAATGAACTCTTGCAATTAGTCACATCTAAAGACACCCTGAACTTTAAAACTTTTCTAATCAATTAAAAAGGTCACAACCTTCTGGCAGAATAATGACCAACACATCTGTGAATAATCTGTTGACTGTTATTCCATATTCCTCCTGTTAAAATGAAGAATTTCTAGCTGAGGACTGTCTCACAGACTGCTACAGCCAACCCTTCCTGCCAAGACCATGTACAGACGCTAGCACCCATCTCAATGTTAGGCAAAACATTTTGTAACCGCTTCGCCTTCTGATTGATCTTTTTGAGGACTGTCTCACAGACTGCTACAGCCAACCCTTCCTGCCAAGACCATGTACAGACGCTACCACCCATCTCAATGTTAGGCAAAACATTTTGTAACCGCTTCGCCTTCTGATTGATCTTTATTTCTTTATGAGCCCAACTCCTTCTTTGTTTCTCCGGAGCACTTCTCAGGGTAACT